ATGAGAAAGGTGGGGCTAGATGAATCACAAGTTGGAATTAAGATTGCTGGGAGAAATAACAACCTCAGATATGCAGATGATACCACTTTAATGGCAGAAAGTGAAGAGGAAGTAAAGAGCCTCTTGATGCGGGTGAAGGAGGAGAGTGCAAAAGTTGGCTTGAAACTCAACATTAAGAAAACTAAGATCATGGCATCCGGTCCTCTCACTTCCTGGCAAATAGATGGGGAAGAAATGGAGATAGTGACAGATTTTATTTTCCTGGGCTCCAAGAACACTGCAGATGGGGACTGCAGCCAAGAAATTAAAAGACGCTTGCTCCAGGGGAGGAAAGCTATGCCAAATCTAAATAGCATTCTAAAAAGCAGAGACATCACCCTGCCAACAAAAGTGCAGATAGTCAAGGCTATGGTTTTCCCAGTTGCAATGCATGGCTGGGAAAGCTGGACCATATGGAAGGCTGAGCGCCGAAGGACTGTGAATTGTGGTGCTGGAGGAGACTCCTGCGAGTCCCTTGGAGAGCAAGGCAATCAAACTGGTCAGTCCTAGAGGAGATCAACCCTGACTGCTCTTTAGAAGGCCAGATCCTGAAGATGAAATTCAAATACTTCGGCCACCTAATGAGAAGGAAGGATTCCCTGGAGAAGAGTCTAATGTTGGGAACAATAGATGGCAAAAGAGGAAGGGGATGGCAGAGAATGAGGTGGCTAGATGGAGTTGGTGTGAGCTTGCGTGGACTCCAGGGGATGGTGGAGGACAGGAAGGCCTGGAGGAATGTTGTCCATAGGGTCGCGATGGGTCGGACATGACTTTGTGACTAACAACAACAACAACAGTGCAGCATGCATTTATTTAGGGCAGCGGGAGGAGGCTCTGGCCTTCCAGGTATTCTGGCCTGTAGTTCTGGGCAACATCCGCCATGATGAGTCATGTTGGGCGTTGCTGGGCCAAACCTCTGAAGGGTCGGTCACTCCAGGGCTTTAAAAGGTTTCCCCGATTTCACGTCAGGCTCGTCGCCCGCGCGGCTGCAGGGCATCCGAGCGGCCAGGAGAGGGCGCGAGAAGGACGGAGTTCGGCAGGAGGCTGGCTGTGCCCGGCGCGCGTTCTCCCCCGCATTTGTTTCAGGAAAGGGGGAGCGCCCGGGCAGCACGATCCCAGGGAGGAGAGAAAGAGGAGGAGCGGTGACTGCGCAGGCGTCCCTCGTACCTTGTTGATTAGTCAGTCCGCGCTGGGATGGCGTTTACTGGGTCAGCTGGAGCTGCAAGCAGAACAGCCAGCCGGAGCAACAGCAGTCGCCGCCGCCACTGCTGCGGCGGGCCTGGAGGAGCTGCTGCTGGGGCCGGGCGCGGGGAGTCACCTTGCCTGTGAGCTACCCCGCCATGGCCCGGGAAGGCGACCGCGGCAACAGCAGAGGTTGAGGCTGGCTGGCTGGCTGGCAGGCTGGCTGGCTGGCGCTCCCCGCCCCCAAGCACCGACCGGCCCCCTCCACCGCTGCCCAGAGCCAGAAGAAGATGGATGCGGGCCCTCCGCCGGGCTCCAGTCTCAAGGATGTGAAGTGGAGCTCCGTTTCGGTCCCGTTGGACCTGCTGGTCAGCACTTACCGCCTGCCCCAGGTCGTCAGGCTGGACGGCGGTGAGTAGAGCGCGCGCGAGCTGTGCAGAAGCCGCCGCCGCTGCAGCCCGATCTGGGCAGGTGGGACGGGGGAAGAAGCCGAGCAGCCGCAGCCGGGAAACCTCCTCCTTCGCCTCCTGCTTCCCGAGCGACTCGCTCAGCGCCAGCCGCCACCGCCCCCTCTTGCCTTGGACGCCGGCCAGTCTCCAGCCGCGCGTCCTTCTGGGGAGGGGAGCCCATTGGGAGACGCGGGCACGTGACCCCAATCCCCATGAATGGGCCGGGGCCGGGGCCGGGGCCGGGCGGGCGGCGCTGGGCTCCGCGCGCGGCTGGGGACGGGGACGGGGACGGGGGGGCGGCTTGGCCGCGGGCAGGAGTGGGCATGCGGAGGAAGCCGCCCTGGACTGATCCGATCAGCTTCGAGCAAGCGAAGCGAGGGGCAAACCCGGCACTTTTGAAAAACGAACTTCTGTGTAAATACACGAGCAGTCCAGAGGTCGGTCTCCAGTCATTCCGCGGGGAGGAAGTTCCGCTGAAATGCGCCCGGGCGCTGGCCACAATCCAACATGGATTCTATGCATGGCTGTTGGGATTGAGTGTCTGGATTTAAATGGGATTTTCTCCCACGACTGCAGCCTAAGTGCGGCTCAGCCCCGAGAAGTACGCGGGCAGGTACACCGTGTTGCGTTAGGGTCCGACTTGGAAGCGCTGGCCTCTTAGGCTCACTCTGAAAATGTCAGCTCCTCCGGCGATGAACCGTAGAATGTCTATTGACCGGGGCTTCCCAGAAATCCAGCTCCACTTTAATAGTTGATAGATTGTCTTACTCGGACAGCCTTGAAAGGTGTTTAGCTTGGAAAATTTTCAGATAGTAGTTCGCCCCTAGCCCGGTATAGGGGGATACATTTGTTTGACTAACACATTACAGTAAATATAAACGCACAAACTGTCTGTAGTCGTCTCTGTTTCTTTCTTTAACCGGACCCTTCTATTAGTTTTGTACTGATACCGAATTTTTATTGTCCAGCTTTTTCTTTTAAAGAGCAATTTTATTCTGTGTGCCAAGTGTACATTGGATCTCTAATGAAGCCCTCTGAAAATGACTTTATTTTTAACCCCTTTTGCTAAACTTACAGGTCCTGCAAACATTTCACATTGAAATGACAAGGGGTAAGGTTACTAATTGTTTTCTCTTTTGGGAAAATAATGGATCCGCCTAGTTTACATAGGCAGCGCAGGAAGACAACTATGATGCAGTATTTATGCCTCTTAAGTATTAAATAGATAATGGTTCCAACCTTTCATCACCTATTTGCACCGATCTATCAAGATTTTCCTAATTGAATAAACTAGAAATTTATTAAACTAGAGTTTGCCCACTTCTAATGAGTATCCTGCCTTGAATTGTCTATACTTTTCCAGTACTTATAGTCCACTGTCACTTGTACACGAATCTTCAGGTGACGCTTGTGAATTAAAACAAGTAGCCAAATTATATAATGGGTTACTAATGAGGGCATGAAAGGGTTGAGGACTGTTTCATTTCTATTATTAGGGGACTATCATCTGACGGCTCTGAAGCCACTTTTCCTCTCATATGTAGTAGTGCAAAAATAGGTGCTGATGTGCTCACTTCACATTGCAGAAGATGAACTATTGTGTGAGTGACAACCAGCAACAGTTTTAAGTGGATAAACTGAACTGCACAGATTCTCCTCTACAACTCTTGACTCCCCATAATCTTTTGCAATTTTATATATGAGAGGGAGAGGGAGGGGTAGAGGGAGAGCATTAATTCAGCCCTAGTATCCTAGGGGTTCATTTGTTTCTCTTGATTCTAATGCAGAGTTCCCAAATATTGTTCCCACCAGATGTTTTGGAGAACAACTCCCATCATCCCTTTCCACTCCTGATTGAGGCTGATGGAAATTGGAGTTCAGAGCATCTGGAAGGTATTGGTTGGGAAAGGCTGTTCCAACGTAACTCTTTGTAACTTCATTGCGTGTTTTCTGGCCTTTTGGCATCCTTATGTCCCTATTTTCTCAAATGTAACTCCCATGGAGTCAATTGAAGCTCATTCTGAAATTCCCTCATCTCCAAAAGTGCTCAGACACTTTTTCAAATTGCTCTTCTCACAACAGAAAGGGCATTAAATAGGACTGGCCCAGCTCAGTGGTGGGAAAAGTGAGGCACTAAGGGCTTCACCTGAAAAACAGATAGTCAAGTCATGCTTGTTATGAACTATTGCTACTTATGATTTAGAATTGTTCTCCCTTTATAAAGCTAAATAACCCAGATTTCTGCTTTTCAGTTTGAATGGATTTTAGATCACTCAAACTCTTGCGATGTGGGTTTTCTGAAATTGTTTGAATTGATACATGCCCTGATACCCTAGATTGATGTGGGGTCTAATGTAACATCTTTGATTTATTTTTAGTTAAAACAACAACAACAACAACCCCACACAAAGTTTGCCTTGTTCATCTCACACGCTGTTTAAAGACTATCACAGCATTTCAATAGCTAAAAAGTGTAGAACTGAAATATTTGATTAAAACACTTGAAATATTTGTCCAGGTTAGGAGATCAATCAACCACATAAAGCATCATCCTTTGCATGGTCAAGTAAATCCTGCTATAAGATTGCAGGCTAAATTTTATATTGAAACCAGCTCAAACCTTTATTTGGATTTATTTTTTTTTTTTTTTTGGAGGGGGTAGGAGAACTTAGAACATTTACAGCATATGTCAGTTTGGCAGAATGTTTTCTTGTGCATTATCTGAATTTAAGGGGGGAAACATTGAAAATCTAATGTACAATATGTGCAATTATATGCATGGTTAGAAAAAAAGTCCTACATTTATTGCAGTATTCACCTGGATTATATCTCAGTTTATCTGAGTTTATGAACTCTCGTTCCCCAGCCAGCCATACTGAGAACTCTAGAACTTTTTTTCTTTCTGACCATGCATAAGATTGTCTCTTGATTTAGCATGGCTAAATATCTGCACATGATTTACATATAGCTATGTATATCCCAAGTTCATGGGGAGAGTCACTTAAAAAAAGTTAATTACAACATTGAAATGGCCTGATTTGACTGGATGGAATCATTCATTCAATTATTAATAATATGGACTAATGTATATTTAGAAAAAAAGAGTAATAGAATTCTAGCTGTTCCTTATCACTGTACATGTCTTAATCTCTATATTTTAGAATGATTTAAAACTTATTAAACGTGAAATGAGTTATTACTTTTGAAGAAAAATAGACAGCAAAGTATTCTGAGTTTGCAGTATAAATAAAGTGCACATGCTTTTATAGGCAAGAAAGCTGTGTTGCTCTGCTAAAGTTCTATGAGATCCCTGTTCGTATACACTTATTTTTTCTACTTCTTGCTTAATATTTAGCCTGATAAAGAGATCTGAATAACTTAGGAGCTGGGCCACTATTTAGGTACATTTTAATTGGTCCAGTGTTATCCTGCTGTGTATTTCATGGTCCCAAATGCCATTTGGTAATGTGGCTAATGATGCTTTGCTACTGTGCAACAGAGAATGCAGTCTTACGTTGTTTGCCATGATGCCCATAAGCTTTTGAATATGACTGGCTAGGGTGCCATCTGACTATGGCAGCAGTCGCTGACCCCAGCCTCCCTTTCCCCCACTTTGCACTGTGCCCCTATTGATCTCTCTGAGGTAGATTTCTGATATTAGAAATGCGACTGGCACAGTTCTTGCAGGGCTGGCTGCTGCGAGAAAGCAGGCTCCTTGGTCAGGGGGAGGAAGCACAAGAGCACCCGAATTCTTAGCTGCTCAACTGTGCCACCTGCATTCTAATGACCAGAACTGGCTGTTTACCACCAATTCCCTTTTAGCACTTTGCTTGTTGCACACCTGGAATTCCTTGGCTGCTGCTTGATGCCATGCTGTCAGCCGTGCTTCATTTCCATGGCTTTCCCTTATGAACTTCTCAGAAGGCTTCAGCTCTTGAGTGGTATATACATTTCATAAAATACATAAATATATTGGAGGCTGTCTTTGTGAGACAGTTTTGTAGAATCCATAGTAAAAGTTAATTTTCCAATTCCATTAAAAGCCTTAGTTGTAAGACTAACAAGGCTGACTGATAACTCCGTATGCTCTGTAACTTTGTTAACCCATAGCTGTCTATCAGATGCATGACTGAACATTGAAAATTGCTTTGAGTGTGTGTGTGTGTTCTCTCCTTCCCAAGTTAATGAGAAGGCTTGCAGATTTTGGGGTGAGGGAAGGAGGAGCAATCTACTGAAATGCAGCCTGAGTAGGAATGCCATTGCAAAGAAAACAACAGCAGGCAGCACACAAATTGCATTTTAAATTCTTAAGGCAGATTTCAAGCCACTTGTATCATGAGTTCTGCTTATGTGACTTGTCCATCATTAACAAATATGCCATTATTTTATGTCTGGATGCTTCTGCTAGGAAACCACTACATCTAATTTGTTTGGGTGGCTTTGGAAGTTCAGAAAGTACATGATTAAAATAAGATGAGGCTGTTGTAATAGCACATGAGACTCATTCCCACTAAGGAATGCTGTGGAAACTAAAATGAGCTAAAATGAACAAAAACAAGCAAATGATAGCTAGTTTCTTTATCTGAAAGACTAGCAAGATTACAAGATAGGAGATGGGGCACATGTAGAGACATGACAAGCGAACACACTTGTATTTGCATTGTGTAGTCTTAGCATGCGCTCACTAAAAGTGCTAGGAAGTCACAACTGTCCAGCACATTTATGTGCTACAAAGTTATATATATATATATCTTTTGCTCTACATATAGTTTCTGCCCTTCTCCCACCCACAAACCCACCATGTGGAAGTGCTACGAAGGGAAATACCAGTTGGATCTGAACAATGAAATTCTGGCTAAAGAAGCCAGGATATTCACTTGCTACTTCCTTTGGTGTGATCCTGAACCTCTTAGTTAGTTAGAGGTCATGATTAGAACTGGCCTTGTGCCTCAGTACAATATTTTAGAGACCGTCAGAGCAATCCCATGTCTCCTAGACAATATTGTTTGTGTGTGTGTGTGGGGGGGGGGGGGAATCAGATTCCAGATTTTCAGATTTCAGAAAACAATTCTGACCTCAGAGCTAGAAATTAGTGCTCAGAAGACCCCCCTGCTGCAAGAGTGGAGGAAAACCCCCATGGGCTACTCTCCAAGGTTAGGAGTAAAAAAACCTTGAAGAATGGGTTCAGGGGGCCTTCTAAGAGGTGGAGGAGGGAGATTGGCTCTTCGAAGGCACAAGGTTTCCTGGTGATGCTTTGACCCCCTTGCCTCCTGCTCCAAAGTACCACAGTTAGATAGCTGAAATCAGCCATCTAGATACTTGGCAGTACAGGAAGTTTTAGTCCACTGAGCACAAATGTTGCCTCTGAGCACCTTCCTTCCTGCACAGGATACCTGAAATCTTCCAAGGTCTGAGGGTTATGGGCAGTCTCACTGGATCACTACTTAATCACTACTTTTGGTCATCATCCAATACAAGTAAACCCATACCAGCTTTTTGCCTTTTGAAATGATACCTGAAGCTTATTTCATTTTAAACAGAAACTCTTTTTTGTTGCTAATATGAAATAGTTCCTTGTGCCTCTAACACAGCCATCCTAAACATTGTCATTACTGTGCTAACTGGAACCATTCGTGTGGCTTCTTTGCGATGTCTTTGAACATTGAGTGAACATGTATTCTTACATTTCGCTTCCTGGAAGTTAACATACGATCAATGTAAATGCATTCTCCATGCCTTTATGACAGCTAAAAAACTGATATTACAACACTGGAAGGATAAATGCTCACTTCATATGATGCAATAGATTAAGGGACTAACAATGCTTTCAGTGTTTGAACTGGTGGTATATAGACACAGCTTGGAAATGTATACATGTATTTTGTCTCCCTATTTTAAAGCTGATGTATATATTTTTAGAAAGTTGTATTTTCAAACACACACATACTTCAAATGTATCAGTCGGATTAATTTAATTACATGTGTTAGTTTTGTTTGCCTTTTCTTGGTTTTTGTGGCTTTATTCTTTTGACATATACAATAAAACTGTGCACTGTCTCTGGTGAGCAGCAAAGGTTGAATGCAGTCATCTTCGGTCCACAGAGCAGCAGAACGTGCTTGACAATTTGAACTCTCGCTTCCACTTCTTCCCAAGCTTTCCCTTTTTCAAGCACCTTGGTCTGACACAGGCTGCTGTCTTTTTCTGAAGAAAAGATCCACAAATTAATTAATTTATCTATGCATTCATGCATGCATTTATAAGGCTGCCTATAACTGCTGAGGCCTTCCTAGGTGGAAATGGGTGCCAGGAAGCCACATTTCTCTAGTTTAGGACTGAGTTGAGACCAGTTTGAAAACAGTTGCTTGTGCCTTTACAAAAATACCTGTATGTACATTTAATTGGGGGCTAATATGTACTGTACATATTAAGTTGTTTTTGACCATTTTGTTGGATGAATTTTAACTAGTTTTTAGCCCTAATTGCAAGCTTTTCTGAGAACAGGGATGAATAACTACATGTATAAACATCCATGTCAATAGTATTGCTATGGTTTAGCCTGGTTTTGTTTTGTGAGACTCATTTTCAGAGATGAAAAATGCATTTGGAGAAAAGTGTTTTTCCCTAGTTAGCAACAGAAGTACATTGCTGAAAGCGGAGGGAGGGAGTGAGAGACCTCTATTGTACTTGAAGTGGATCACCTATGAAAAAAGGATGTTGTAAGGTAGGCAGCCATGACCTGTGGCTGTTGATTAAGCTGTTCTTTTACTATCTGCAATGAGAGCTCTTTGCTATATAGGGAGAGTACATTTCTTACTGTGTTGTAAATTCCCAGTGTTGACTTGGATTGCTTTCTGGCCATGTAATTAATACTGTTAAACGTATTCATCAATAA